TTATTTATTTATTTTTTATTTATTTATTTATTTATTTTTTATTTGTGCATTGATTATTAATACTTTGAATCCACTGCCAGACGATTTGTTACCGTGAGATAAAAACTGACTCCTGTTTTTCGACGCAGAGTGAGAGAGGCCATTAGTCTTGAGAAAGTCAAAAAAACTGTCCTCTCTAGGATAAAAGTTTTTTGTTCAATAAAGCGAAAGGAACATGATAGTCGAGAACAAATTATTGCTGGAGACACTTCCAAAGTTTGATGTAAAGGCTCCAGGTAGAGACCAATTTTCTTGGACGAGTAAAACTGTGTCGGCGTTCTTCGTTACAAACCGCTCTCATCGCTGTTCTAGGAATACCTTGAAAAATATAGTTTCACGAACATTTGACTCATGCTTTTTGCTGCGGATTACTTCTAAGAAATTCACAGAGCGCCGCAAATGTTAAATATTGACCAAATTAGATTTAATTACTGTTAAAGTTGGTAAATATGATTGAAATTAATTTTTCTAGGAATTTTTGGGAGCTGCCAAAATTAAGCGAATAGCAAAACAGTGCAGGGTTAAAAATTTACTGTTTGGACAACTCCAAATTTATTTTCAGAATGCAGTTTGTTTAAGAGAGGAGCGACCAAAAACGGAGGATTTTCCCTCATGGTGTATTGGCACACCAAGTTGGCGATGAATCTTTTGACGTGTTTAATTTTTAAGAGATTGTTGGCTAAAACCATTGTAGCATGACGCGCACAACAAGTGTAACGGAGGTCCATTAACATCAGTTTGCTTCCTGATAATTTCTGAGAAAAAAAAAGAAACTAATTAGACTGTCAAAATGCAAGGAAACAATGTTTTATATCAACTTTAAAAATTTTTTGAAAAAACCTGTATAAGAAAAAAGTGGTAACCAATGAATGTTGCGTAAATGCTGCGAAAGGAAGTTAAAGCAAAATAAGTAAAAAGGTGCTTGGAAAAACACTTTACTGTCCATTGCATGTATTCTGTTATTTGAAGAGCTTCCGTAATGAAGCAAAATAATTGTTTGTGATACACAAATTTTACAAATTGTTTAGATACCTGATAAAAATTTTCGCACCGTTTATTAGAGTGCGGTATAACGCTTTTGATTTGACCCTTGTACAGTAGTCCTGACTAAAAAAAATCATGGCAATAACGCAATAAATCCCGACTGAACATTCAGAACAAATAAGTGGCTAAGCAAACTTTTTGAGGGCCGACTTCGGGTTACGGGATATGGAACTGTTGTTAAAGTGCAGTTCTAATGTGCATTGTGGTTGAGAGGGTCTGTAAAACGAAAGAACGTTGGACCGTTTTTTTCTTTTTTTTCAAAGCAACCTCAGCTCCCTTTATTTATATTTTGAATGAATCGATAAAAGTTTTGAGGAATTTATCATACTTGCGGATCAGTGTACAATGTTTAACGTAAATGGCGAGAGGAAATATTGACTAATAACACGTTGACAACAAAAATGATTTCCAGTTGGGAACTTTCCAGACCATTTCCAACAGCCTGAATTCTTTTTTTTACTTCTATTTTCAACATTTCATCTGTTTTTTTTATTTCCGTATTCCCCAACCAAAGCAAGTTTCTAGAAAGTACCTAACTTCATTGTACACAGCAGTTGATAGTCGGTCAATTTTCAAAAACATCGGCATAAAGAAAGTGGAGACTAACTACCAAAAAATTTATGCACAGACATTATTCTAAATATAGGTGATACACTATAAAGAACATTTGTCTCTGTTTTTCCTCCAAAAAAAAAGTAGAAAAGCAACATCAAAAAAGGAGCAATAACAACGATAGAAAGTTTGCACAGACGTTGCTGATCGATGATGAATTTCTTTTTCTCAAAATATCTTTTTTTTTGCTTTACTTTTTCAAAATAGTCCCAGACCATTGAATATAGTTTACCGACATTAATTAAACAGCTGTATAGGTGCCATATCTTCTGTAATTTTAAATATCAACTGCCCTTATGATATTTCTAGCCATTTTTTTATAAAAAAATTTTAAACTAACAAGTTGTGGCAGGGAGGAAAAAAGAGTTGGGAATTGTGGAGCGCATTCACTTTTCAAAACAAGTGCAACGCGTATCAATCGAGCAAAGCGAATGAACCCCGCCTCCCCATCGCTGTATCAATATAACTCTCGCCTTTTGCGATCACCAGCATTCACTACTAAATTTTCACATCTTTGCTGGTGTCGTTCGCAAGCAATTTGTGTTGGAAAAGACAATGGCGGAAGCAGACACATTTCTGTTCACTTCGGAATCTGTTTCTGAGGGGCATCCCGACAAAATGTGTGATCAGGTATGGGAGATAATAGCACACCTGTATATTTTTCTTTTTAATTTTCATCAGATTGCAGTAGCGCTATGATTTATTTCACGTATATCAATTTGTTGAGCAAACAGAGAGGAAAAAAATGTTGGCCTAAAGAGTAGCGTAAAATAAACCGTAGAAAAAAAAGATAAGATTTCTGCAAATTTTCCTATAATGTACCTTTTCTTCTGGTCTTCCATTTCATTACGTACTTTTAAAGTGATTTATTGAATATTTTTATTGTTTACTAGTACTTAATATTCGGTGCCGATCAAATCGTCTGGTTACACGACGCGATACTAGATGATACAATCATTTCTCTAAATACGAAATGTAAAATCAAATTAATTGGTCGGTGAAAGTGAGGCATATCTCAGAATTTCTCATTTTTTGCCATCAAAAGTAACCAACACCAGCAGTAAACACAGAGCAAAGGTTAAAAAACAGTAATATGTGCGGGTTTAGCTGGAACCTGATTTCTGTCGAAAGATCCAGCTGACCTTCATATATTTTTCAAGTAGCCAGTTTTATTACTTGTATACTTATGACGCTTCGTAAATGACTATGTTTTTGGTCTACAAACCCATCCAATCAGCAATCTGTAACAATGTCTATCTGGGTGACAAAACTGCACTCCGTTATTGTGTTGTCCAAAAATTTATTTTGTTTTGCATTTCAAAAATAATATCTTACAAAATTCCTTCTTTTTCACTGACTGGTTTGTTGAAGTGAACTTTTTCAGATTTCCGATGCGGTACTGGACGCTCACTTAGCTCAAGATCCGAATGCCAAAGTAGCCTGTGGTATGCAAAAAAGAAAAAAAACTTGAGAATCATAATTTTTCAAGTCTTGTTTAAACACTAGATCTTTAATTAAAGGCCCTAACAGGTTATAGTTAGACAGCGGTGAAGAAAACTCATAGAAAAACCAACAAAGCATTATGAGCTTTTGTCAAAGCAGATTCATTCGTCAGTAATTTCTACCCCAAGTACTGACGTTGCGGTAGTTGTAATAGAAATAAAACGGTGTTTCACTAACAGCCCAAGTAGTTTCTTGCTTTTCTTGTCTTCCTAGCTAAGGTCTCATCTCCTCCTCATGACGTTAGTTCCAAGTAATGTCTTGTCTGTGATCATAGGCCCGTTTACGTGGTCACTTCTCTTACAGAAACAGTGACTAAAACGGGAATGATCATGTTGTGCGGTGAGATAACATCTAAAGCTACAGTCGATTACCAAGTTTTGGTTAGGAAAGTCGTTGAAAAAATTGGCTACGATGATTCTTCAAAAGGTAATTTTCTTTTCAATTTTTTTCCAGATCAACTTAAAACAAAAAAATAGTCTTTACTGAGTAAAGCAAACGAAAATGTAAAAGTCATCGGAAAATGGGTGTTGAATTTTTTGTTGGGGTTTTTGATAGCGTAC